GCTCACGCACACGCCAGAAACACATTCAACTTGCACTCATTGCTCATACACACGTGTGTGCATTAGCGGAAAACCAACCTTCCGCTCACAGCAAAGTGTGTGCTATTTGTTATTAAGCACATGCACATGTGTGTGAACCGATTTTAGTACAAAATTCTGGTTATGCACATGCACATAATAAAAAAAAGAAATTTTTTTATAAAACGTAATTTTTATAAAACAATTCAATAAAAAATATGTTGTTTGACTTAAAATTAGTTTATGAGTTTCTCTTCGCAAAGCACGCACTTGTGCGTGTGCTTAATATAAATAAATATAAAGTACACACATGTGCCTGTGCTTTTTACCAAACGGCACACACATGTGATGTGAGCAAGTTTTTAATTTTTTATATGCACAGCACACGTGTGTGAGCGTAAAATATTAGAATGTGCTGCGCATGTGTGTGTAAATACGAACCCTGCTAACCACCAAAAGACGATCCTCCATAACGAAAATAAAAGTTCGTACACATCAGCTCAAACAAAAGCGTTTTTGTGCATTTGAAGTGTGGAATTTATCTGTCATCCGCCTTATAGCCGCGAAATGGCAGAGATCGAGGAAAAAACCTGACTTTTTTATACTCGTTTTAGACAGCAGAGACTTATCAATATTAATCTTGAACTTAGCCCTAGTCTTAGCCTTTGACTCTGTCCTTGCCTGCCTATCTTTGTATATCTATCTCTTCATCTTCGTCATTATCTTTTCTGCTTATCTGCATATTCATCATCATTTTCATATTCACCTTCTCAATCTTAATCATTGTCTGTATTTTTTTTATACTTATCTTTGTCGTCAAGTCGTTTACTTTCTGTCCACGCTTTCACCATATACCACCATAACCGAAGCCTTGAAGGTCTATTCTGCTCTGGTAACAAAAAAATTTGTAACCGGTAAATAAAGCTCCTGTAAATTTTCTCACTCTTTTCGCATTCTGTGAATCTTGTAACCGGTAAATTTTGTTACCATCTCATAAGCTCGTAACAAAATATTGCCCCGCGAAATATGCAGTGCCAGAATAGACCTGTTAAACTCAATTAAGAAGTTGCACTTCAAAAATGAGCGGCAAACGTTTTTCTGTGCTCGAAAAGTACAATGGGGCCCCCGGTATCGGTGATACAAACCTCAAAGTGGCAAACTTTTTCGAAAATTGGTTCGGACGAATGCAAACCCGTATTCATAATTTTTGGAAATACTTTGAAAAACAATAAAACCATTCCAACTCATCGACCAAGCCTTAAAAGTCAGCTCTAATATTCACNTAGTGTTGTTGCTGATGCTGTTCATTGTTAGGAAATTGCCAGCAATCATTTGATAGATTTAAACAATTAAAATGGAATGGTACGAATTGCTGTAATATTGAAAAATCGATGCCTAAGCGTCACAACGAATGGCGGCGGGCACATCCAACCAAACAAGCAGTTGCGCAAGCGATGATGAATTATTATTTTGCACTTAATGAGCATACATACATACATATATGCACACACATGCACATCCACAAGCAATATTACTAATAAATAAATAGTAGGTTAGGTACATAGGTGCCACAGCGTGGTTGGGTGCCCCAATTGTTCGCCGTTCGCCGTTCGTTTTCAATTTAATACTTTCGATTTTCCGAGTATTTTTCTGTACGTTATTGACGTTGTTGTTGTTGGCGATTTATGTTGGAAATATGTGCAAATTTATGCTGTTGCCGTTTTGTTGCTGTTGCTGCTGCTGCTGCTGCTGCCACAGATGCTACAAAAGTTGTTGATTGCTCCAAATTTGCGACAACAAACCCACCGAGCTGTCAACAAGTAAGCCGGCACAACACATGTTGCCAACAATAACAGCAACAATGGCAAAAAAACAACAACAGACGCAGGCACGCCAACATCTGCGCGACGCTACATAGATTGTTGCCAACACACAAACGAATAATAGCAGGCGAGAGAGGAGGAGTTGACGACGCCTTAGGTTTCAGCGCTCGTATTTAGTATGTTGTTTCTGTTGTTGCTTTGCGTTTTATGCTTCAGTCCAGTTGACTTTTGGGTTAATTGTTTCTATTAAAGTGTTGCGTTGCCTTTTCAATTAACTTTTTTAGGTTTTTATTGTCGCTGTCGTTTTTTTTTTTTGCACGCCAATGTAGCCGCCACCAATGAAAGTGTTGTTGTCAAATATTTTTTTTTTATTTCAGTTTTTTTCCCCCTTTGCTGCCCAATTATTCACGCGAAATATTTACTCTGTTTACTCTGATTGTTTTGCCACTGACAAGTGGTTTGTGGCTTTGACGCTTAGCCGCCTATAAAGCGACCAGGCGCCGCCGTGTAAAACTTGGTGGTCAACATTGAGCGCCGATGGCTTGTTGTACGTGCGACGCTTACAACTGGCTTTGGAGGCATGTGGCGCACTTAAACGGTGCTTAATTAAATTGTTAGCAAACGGAGCTAAGTCAATGCCCAAGTGTATTAAATTAAAATAAATTAACGTTTTGCCTCCCAATCTGAGAGGCGATCATAAATATTTATTGATACGATTTTCGGCAGCTGATGGAATATTTTTGCAATAAGCATTCAAGGTTGTAAAAGCCAGAGAATGTATGAAAATGTGAGAACTAATAACAATTGTATAGAAACAAAAACTAGCATACTGAAAGATGTATAAATTCATTTATCGCCTTGATTAACGTCCATATATCCAATACATGTTCGTTTATTTCCCAAAGATGTAGTCCAAGAACTATTATTGATTAGTAGAATACTAAAATTCCAATGAGTTTGAACGTAATTTAGTTTAGGTTGCTAAAACCAGATTGATCAAGTTTTCTAATTGGTTTGTAAGTGAGATATCCAAGAGCCTGGCCTGTGTCAAGTCCCCTATCGATCTTCCTTGCTAAGTACGTTCTGATTTTACCGACCTATTTTTGTCTCAAATAAGGCCGCGACTGAGTCCACACTGAAAGTCCGTGTGCCACCAATAGAAAGTCTAGTATCGGGGCTAATAAAAACTAGCACCTGTTTTGTTCTCCATCCTTGATCCCTTTGTGTACCAATGTAAATATCTGGGATTTAGGTAATTATGAAATTTCGAATAGTGGTCTGCGGAATGGTGGTGCGCACCTTAGGCCTACGATAAGTTAAATCGTAGTGGCTTCCTTCATATATCACCTAGAAGGCGGTAGGCATGGGTAACACTGCGTTGCGCGGCGCAATTGCGTTAACACCGTAGCTGCAGTTGCCGCGCCAACACCAGTATATGGAAAGCTCCAGCGCCATTAACACCAAGCAACACATGAGGCACCAACACAGTTCGCCTTAACTCTTTGAAAATTTACACGTACTTTGTTTTTGCTTTTGAGCGTTGAGTACGCAAATTTAAAGCTTTTACTCAAGAATGATGAGAATATCGTGGCCTTTACTACATTCCTATCAATTAAATTCGGTTGGCGGTACAAGCGTTGCTCAGCGNTACGCAAATTTAAAGCTTTTACTCAAGAATGATGAGAATATCGTGGCCTTTACTACATTCCTATCAATTAAATTCGGTTGGCGGTACAAGCGTTGCTCAGCGCCGAAAATTATAGAAATAATAGACATGACACCACTGTATGGTGCCCTACACTGTATGACGATGGGTACTGTAGTGACACTCAGATGGCGCCGTGTTCAATTCAGTACACTGCGCCATTGCGCTGAGTTAGTGTGCTGACACCACAGGTGGCGCTGGCGTTATTGAGATAGCGCCAAAAAATTGCGCTATTACCCATGGCTAATAGTGGCTCCTAAAAATTTTTCCTCTGTCCTAGATGGTGGTGGAATTCCCGCATTTCAAAGAAACCAATTTATCTGCAATGCAGTGGTCTGGCATACCTTGCTGACCCGGCACCTATAGTGAATGTAGGCACCTATACTGAATGTATTACTTATGTATTTATGTATGTACGTACTTGGCAAATCGTTTGCTTTAAAAGTGTAGAGCATTTGAACTCAAATGATGAAATTGCCTTGAGTACCACCCGACTTTAACTTTAGATGAATATGCTTTCATAATCATACTTTTTCCCGAAATTAGCTCTAGACACAAGATTATGGTTTATGGAGATTTAAAGTCGACCTTGTAGCTGTTATTCGTTCAAAAAATACTTGCTAACTTAATTTTTTGGATTTTGACATTCGTTCCGAGAATGAGCGGCATGTATAAGAACTAAGAGTTTAAAAGCCTACTGAGGAATTTAAATGCATATACTAGCTTAAGGAAAAAATGCAAAATGTCGAAGGCTTGGGCAAAAAACACCATTAAGGACAATCAAATACAAAACTAAAAATAAGTTTAAAGTATTTGCAATTTTCATGCAATTAAAATCTGAATTCCACTGCATATGACGAGCATGGAGCCAGCATGTAGTCAGAAGTTCCCTATCTCGGCAATTAACTGAATTCAACCATACATATCTACAACGCATATATGTAAACCTCACTGTCTGTCCTTTTGTGTTTCTACCTTAATCTTCTGCTGCTGCTTTTTTGCTACTTTGTAATTATAACTTGCACTAAAAATAGCCGCAAATCTAAACTTCTGTGAAATGAAAGTGCAGTGTGGACACCAATCTTCGCTCGCCCCTCCTTTTGGCTGCAGCTAATACATATGTGGGGAATGAACTCAGGCGTGAAAAAATGCACAGATGAACGTACGTACGTACATATGCGTTGATGCATTTATTAAGCATTTTTGCATATTTCATTAATAACAAAGCTGTCACTCAGCCAATCAGACAGTCAGCCCAGCAGCCCGGCAGTTGGTCGTTTTATTTTTTAGAAGATGGCTCTTTGCACTTGCTTGGGGCTGTGCCAGTAGTGTCCTTATGGAGTGTTTGTACCTTTTGCCTCAACGAAGGCAATTTACGCATTACAGATGGTTTGCTGATTAAAATCTGACTAAGTTGGTAATTTGTTTTCTGTTTGTTGGCTGAAATTGCTTACCTCGCGTCCACGCAACGAACATAGCCACCAGCCTTCCAAGCCATCGGTGTCCTGCTCTATGACTGTGAGGACATCGCCTTTTTTGAAGGCCAACTCATCCGGCGAGTCAGCAAAGTTATCATAGATCGCTTTTGCATAAAGTTTCTGAAATGAAAGAGAACATTTTTGTGTTGGTAAAGTTAAGTTACTAAATTTTTTTGTTGTTGTGCTTGAAAATTTAATTAGTAAAAGAGGAATAAAAATGAATATGTGTTTACATTACCGGCGGAGCGGCTGAGAAGCTCTAAGCTCAGGTTATTAGAGTAAAAAATATACATTTTTGGAAAAAACAAAAAATCGAACAAACTTACAAAACTGTGCTTAAAATTTTTCGAATACCCAGCCATTTTCATGTTGTTAAAAACAAATTCAAAAACTAAACACATTTTTAAGTTTGGATATGGATTTACAAAGAAATGGTTTGAAGTATTTAAAAAGATGGTTAGGTAGCAAGGGTATACATAGTAGAAATATACAAAAAAATAAAAATAAAAATCTCAGACTTTTGCACTATTCAAACTTCCTATTAATTATGTCTTGAACATACAAAAAATGGCTCAAGTCTGAATTAAAAGAAGTTCTATATTTTACAACGCTTTTATCAACTTGCAATGTTATGTGTCCAGGCACCATTTATAGCTATAAAACCATTGCTTTGCAAAGATCCTATAAAAAAGTCTAGACATAAATCTCGTCGCATGGTATCATATTAAAACTCTAGAGGTAGATGTCGCCTCGCCGCAATTGGCCTAATTCAGGTCTATTACATGCGCCCCACGTTTTTCGTTTTCAATCTCATAAATTGTTTATAATGA